ATTCTAATTGTCATTGTTTAAGTGTGCCCGATCATCTGATGAGGTTTTGAAAAATAACGCAAACAAATCTATGCTAAAGCAGATCGGAGAAGCTTTAGAGTAAGAACAGCTAGTAGGTGACGTTGCTGATTTATATAGCTTGCACATGAGCATGTTTTTAGTGGCTACAATGAGTTCTAAAAAATATAGAAAGAATATTATTTGCGAGCGTACTACTACTACCAGCCTTGCGATTAAATTCCATATATTCATTTCGCCGTAAGCACCTTAGTGGAACAGCTCTGACGTGTGATAGGGAATTTCCGTACTTTTGCCATTTATGTACTATAAACGAGAAACCTTTGTACTTATCAGAGATACAAACTGAACCAGAATGAGGTCACGTGTGCTTTGTTTGTTTATCCATTTCTTTTCCACCTCACCTTTTACCTTTGACCCTCGGTTTCCGTTTGGTCGTAAGTCCATAACAGACTGAACTTAGCTAGCCAAATAAATGAGCATCTTGAAACGAAATGAGAGACACATAGAGGACAGGACTAGAGGAAACAGGCGCTGTGGATGTTAGGGACCAGTGCCTAAATCACCCTTTCGACATCGTCATCTCCACCGTACGTAGGTAGCCGGTATTGCTATGGCCGAAGCCGTTTTCCACCGCCAGCTGAACGAAGCAAACTACCTCTTCGCATCAATAATGTACACAGTTACCAAGATCGGCGGCCCTTCCTTTGAACATTTGGGTTTTCGGGTTCTAGCTTTGCACAGCCCACATGGCAAGGCCTGTACCGCAAAAAGCTAGTTGCCTGTAGTCAGGTGCGGTAGCAGTAGAAGGGGCGCCAGCCACAGTTTTGCTGAGGTCAAGACGGCTAGAATAAATTCTTAACTCAAAAATTCTGTCTATGAACAGCCAAACAAGCATAAGCTCATACTTAGTTCGCGAAAGAAAAGGGGACAGACAAAAGCTTTATGTTGATTTAATGCGATATCAAAAGGAGGAAAATGCATCGTATTGGTTTTTTGTAGAAAAACCGTGATGACAAAAAGTGAAGATTAGAAAAGTAGCTCGAATTTTCTAACTTTTCTGCATAGACTTAATTGTGTGTCACGGATGCTGCATGCGCAGAATGCATGCAAGAGTCATAGAAAACGATTTTATCGTGACCAGTGTTAAACAGCTGGTCCTGTCAGCTAAATAAAATCATTATTTAGTATTTGTTGATAATCACTTGGTGTATTTGCTTGTTATAGTCGGGTGGCATCTTCGAACAGTATTTATAACACGCATTGTTTAATGAATATGATGCCCTGCTTAGACGTAGAGTTATTAATGATCATGAATTAGGCAAATAGGTTCCGTGCTGACGGAATGTTCGGCCAATAAAATGTTTAACGAAATGACAGCCTTTTCGACTTGCATTTATTGTCTTTAAACCACGTAAACACATTTTTTCAAATACAGCCGATTCAGGCTCTTGCATGATATAATGTCACCAACACCTAAACTGACACGTTTCGATTACGTCTCAAAGCGTTGCATGTACTCTTCCGCTTTATTTCCTTCTGGTTATGTGCTGTACCGTTGGAGATTCAGAATAACTCAATTGAAAATATTCTACAAACGCTGCTATTCATAGGAAGAATGCGTATTATTCGTAGACAGACACGAACTGGCAGCATCAAGGCATATGCACAAATCTAACGCGACTTTAAAAGGCAAATCTATTGGAGTAGGCCATACTGTTTTGTTTGTTAGAAGTACTCTTCTTCATACACCTACATCCTGTTCCCTTAGCGTAACATACTATGCTACCTGTACGAGACGCGACGCAACCTGCAGCCCCTATGAGAAGGAATTGCACCAACGACCGAAGGCCCGCGTGCGACTTTCCAACGGTGTGGCCAGAAAAAGCAAAGAAGGTTCGACAAGTGGCGCGCCACGAGTTACATTAAAGAGAAACAGAAAAAGGTGGCCTAGCTAGCCTACACGACAAGCGCTGTAGTAATGAAAGATTGGATTTAGAGTACAGAGGGAAAGAAAGACGAGAGAGAGGCACGAAGAAAAACGTCACTTCTTTTTGCGGCCACAGTCACCGATTTGAACTCCTACGGTACCACCAACGACATTGCGAGTAATGGTAGAGGTAAACGAACATAAAGACGCTAAACACACCAGTACCCTTAGCGATAATTTTAGCGGCGTTTGGAGCAGCAGAAGCAGTAACCTGATGGTAACCGCCGTTTATTAGCTTCAAATTGCACCTTCCCACCGAAGTCGCGACGGCGTCCGACGGGTTTGCCTGTCGCGCCCTCGCTTCTACCCAGTGCCCCTTGTCCACTTACCTTAAACTGGGTTTGGCCAAAAACCCTTTTTCCCTAACACACACGAACCTTTAGGTTTCTCTCGAAGCTGCTATGGCTATAGGTAATGGCCTCAGAAAGGAATCGGAAATAGAGCACAGGGTAAGGGGAGGGGGCGTAGGTTGGGACCTTTCTCTCACGACTTAACGACAGCGCTCATAAGATAGCGACAAGAGATTCACGCAGTAAAGCAGCCACGCACACTGGCTTATATAGACATTCGTAAGAAAGTAAGTGAAAAGCTAAAATGTAGACAAAGTCAGAAGAAAGGCGAAACAGGGTTCGGGAAGAAAACCGAACAGATGCGTGTCGAATGGATGCGTGGTAGAGCCGCTGGAGATGAAGCAGTGTCACTTCGGTGACGGTCATTGTTACCGGTTGTCGATTTGATCTTTGCTGTCGGGGATATCACCGTATAATATGTATGTATTATGGATCATTTCGCCTGAACTTCCGTCCAACACTTCAGATAGTGATATGGTAGAAAGCAGCGGTAACAGGCAAAAAAAAAGATGAGAGAATAGACCATAAACATTTCACTATAGATGTCCGGTTAGTGTGCAAGTACACAGCCACCATCGCTACAGCCATTACCAAAGTCGCCAACGTCGTCATCACCATATGCGATATATTTGATTGAAGTTGGTCGACATGACACTGATAACGCAACTACAATGGACAGTTGAACTAATGATTCTCGCACACGCATAGTTTGCTAGCCGAAGCAGTCACCGCAAAACTCTTCTGGCCATATTTAAATCCGTTTCCTCCTAACCGAACTCTCATATCTTTAGATTGAGCCAGCTTCAATAGATTTTTCGTTTGAAGAATGGGGTATTCAAGTATTGAGCAATTTTTCCGTCTCCGAAAAGCAAATTTTCGGCGTTAAAAAATTAAATCTCAATGAAATGCAATGATAACTAATTAGGGCACTTGAAATGCAAAACAATGACAAAATCTTGGCAATAAGAAAGGACAAATACGACAGAACACTCGGATGTGTTTAGCCTTGTTTCGACTAGACCAGCCAATCACAACAAATAAGACAGTTCCGGCCCTGCGAAATCGTTTATCCATCTTTAGGTAGGTAAGTAACTGTTTTCTGTATATGTACTTTTGTTAATTATTTGACACACAGTCGCGTTTGTATCACATCTTGGCTTTATATATTTGTTGGCGAGATAATTCGGCAGTGTAGATGGAAACGTCTCAATGCAGCTAGAGTTTATGCTTTTTGCTGATATTGCCCCTGTTGCGTCTGCTGTCACCGCCGAAATAACGATCGAGATCTGGTTGAATGCAGTCCTTAAATGCTACACACGTACTTCATACCGCAGGAAAATACATGCGAGGTAGGTAGCACTACAATTCAAATGTTGGATCGGCATGACGTCGTTGCCGTTGTTATTTACCGCACGACTAAGCGCTTTGCGTTGAGGCTAGTCGAGCTTCTAGCTGTTGTAAGTCGGGAATTCGAAATGAAAATGTTACGTTCAAAATGCCATCATCTTGGGGTTTTACTGACTCGAATCTGAGTCGATTGAATGAGCTAACGGTATAGTACGGTGCGGGAATAATAGGACAGCAATTATTTTTGATCTTTTCATTTACCTGCTGCTGCTTTCGCATATTTTCCTATTGCCAATAGTGGTATCATAGTAACTATCCTCTTTGAGAAAGCCTTGATTTAACGTTCATTAACGCATCATTGTATCATCACAGAGACACTTGTGTAAGGCGTCCTGGTGACGGCGAAGGGCGATCTGCTTCATTCTATGGCTGTATTCATTTGTGCTCCTTTTATCCTTCCACGTTTGTTTTGTTTCTTTCACGGCACAAACGCCGTCTTTTCTAATATACATATATACGGTATGATGTAATAAACAAGCAAATATATCCTATTTCTATTTTATAATGTGAAAAATTATCAATAATAACGGAAACGACGCTTATCAACTGACCGTTCGCATTATATTCAACAGCGTGCACACGACGTGTGGCACTCATTATAAAGTCCCCTACACCTGTAGACAGCGCAAATCAATGAAATTGCATGTAGGCAGTTGCTACTTGAAATTTCGATGTTACTTCTGCTGCCTGCCGGCAGTATCTCATGCATGTACACGAGATGTATCGATTCACATAACAATTATAACTCTTAATAATATGCTAGTATTGCAGTTGATGTAAAACTATTATTTTTCTATATCACACATACAGGTGTAAATATAATATACAAAATCGTCTCGCTACTAACGGTTCTGTTTGATATGTACTGCGTATATGCAATAGGATGATTAATAATGTCGTCCCAGCTGACTGCTCCTGAGTAGCCCTGTGGTACTGGGATCAAGAATCCTCTGCTATAATTATAGATATGATCATTTGGTGTAGTGGAGTTTGATCATTGTTATTCTAGTAAGTGGAAAATCCTTTTTGTAGTATGGTTTGTGGTCAGCTGTCAAACTCGCCATCTCCTCCGTATCAACTAGCAACAATAGTGCGCTGACTTCATTTCGTTCGTTCGAAACGTTCGAACGACTTGCGTGCCAGCCGATCCATACATACGTACACACACACATGCATACACACAAATATGCACATATACACTGTAGAATGAGAGTTTCAACCGATGATACACGCACCTTGCCCCGTTGACGCACTAAGATACATTGAGTTGTGTCAATGAGTTGCCAACTGCGGGATGCTGGCCGCGGCCGATGAACTCGCTCGTCCTCTTTCAACTTTCAGCAGCCCGAGCAGTTATCGTCTTGAAGAAGCAGCAGCAGCAGCAGCAGCAGCAGCAGCAGTAATGCTAGCGACAGCGCTTCGTGCTGGCGGTAACTGAAGCCGCGATGAGCCCCGACAACGACACCTCGTCGAAGGGAACGATGCTGAAGCTGATGATGGCGATGACACCAGCGCCGCTCCCGTTTTTGTCGCAGATTTCGTTGGTTTCGCTATCGCTGTCGTTGTTTCTTCTTCTGTTTCGAAGCGAGCGGCAACTGTAGCTACTTTTGCTGCTGCTGCTGCTGACAGTCCAGGCCCTGGCGCTTCTGCTATAGCGATTGTTGGCGCAGCCACCGCCGCCGCCGCCGCCGCCGCTAATTCCGCTGTCTCTATCACTGCCAGTAGTTGTGCCCCTACTTTTGCGACTGTTGAAATAGTTTGGACGATAGATATTGCTGTATATGTAGCGCTAGGGGCGGCTCTAAGCGATGATCTGCTCTGACTCTGTTAGCTAATAAGTTCATCGCAAGTAACTGAGCACCAAGCGCTCGAACCCACACACATCACGTCACGTCTGCGTACGTTCGTTGTAGCAGCAACATTCGATTATCGTTAAAGTGATCTATCTCCTGCCACTGCAGCTACCGCGTTCCTATTACCCTTGTTAGTGCAATGAGATAGATTCACTCACAGCATCCCTGCTTTCTCCGCTCTCCTCAGTCTTATAAAATGTTTGATCATGTGCGCACCTAAATAAGACAATCAACTGCCTGACGTTTCCCCTTTTCTCTACTCGAAAGCTATTATGACTTTTCGCTGCACGACCACGTCCACTGCCTTCCCAAACAGCAGCAGCAGCAGCACGACAGGCTCTTTCTCTTCCAATACACACATATACACGTCTGTCCGTCCGTCCGTCTGTCGATATGTCTTTTTCCACTCTTTTTGCTTGTTGCCTGTTGCTAGTTATCGTGAAACAAAGTCTAACCTGATCGACAGCGATTCAGATAGCAGGACAGACATAGCCATCACTAATCAGCCGCAGGTCGTATCAGTGGCTGTTGCAATGCCAATAGCAGGAGCAGCCTGGCAGGCCAGTGCACGTAGTCGCATCGAATAGAATAGATTATTTCAATATCAATAATAAGAGTACTCGTTGCACAGCACCAACAATGATCACGTTAAATGTCTTCTTCTTCGACCACTACGGCACACAGCTACCACAGTTTCACTAACCATCATCGAAGCACCCCGATCAACCACCAGCCACCGTCTGCACACTACACTGTGTTCTGCTGCGACTGCTCTGATAAATAAAAAATAGACCGACAAAACGGTCGACTGACGGACGACGGGATGTTCGCCACAGGGGGATCGTAGGGGCGACGGGGCTTCGGCTGAAATGGCGGAGTGCCTGAGACAAGCGGCGGGTTAAGAGGAAGCCCGCGCTGAGCTCGTTTGCGCGAACCAAAGCTAGCGCGTTGACGAGCCAGAGATGAGAAGCAGTTGATGTTTCAGACACGAATATAATCGCGCGACGTGTGTCCCAAAATAATAACCATAGCGACTTAGAATTACGGTCCATATCATACATGTTGCACTCCATTGTCTATAGGTAGAGCTAGACAGCAGTTTACAATTTGTAGGAGGTTAACTGTAAGGTAAGATTTTGAATTGTGCTATTTCAGTGTTTTGTTAATTATACGATACTGACAGCATATAGTTAATTTGGGTACTAGTTACCATTGGGTAGAGAAAAAAGTACAGACTGGTTATGGGTTTACTGATCAGCGGCTCACCTTCGCATTTGTTTACCAAGTTTGTACGAGAATTTCGCCATCCGTTCTCTCTGTATGACTTATTTAACGACCCGCCCGACTAGATAATCTTGTTTAGTGCTAGTAATCTCGGTACTGCTATGAAGGCATATTTGGAGACGCCTTATGAACGAATGCAAGTTTGTAGCTTCGACATTTCGACATCCTCATCGGAATTTACCCGCGTCAAATATCGTCTGCTGCGCGCTTTATTTTGCCCGCTAGTTTTAGCGTGATGGCTGGTAATTTCGGGCCACCAAAGTAAGCAATTCCAACTGCGACCGGCGGTTCCACTGAAGCCCACTCATTGTACTTGATCGTCATGTTAAATGCTTACTGCCTTTTCGTATCGCTGATTGAATTGATGTATTGTAACAATTCAGAGGCGGTTGTCGTCATGTGCAATCCTGCCGTTCACGACAATTACGTATTGGCAACAGAGGTTCCGTCAATCTCAGTTATGCACCAGAAAGCGTTCTCAGTCCATGCTCGCGTTCGCTGGCGATGGGAGAGGATGCGGAAAGGACCTGCTCCGGCGGCGTTGACTCCTGTACTCTTTGTTACATTTTATGGACGAAGCAATGGACTCTTGCTGGCTGCACTCGCCGTCCGGACTATTTCTCCAGGCAGGGCCTAGCGCTACAAGGCCATCCTTGTATGTCTACACGCACGGCATTTATGCCCGCCTTGGCCATGGGGTTGCCGCGACGGAGCGTCGACCCGCCCCCATGGTTCGCACACACGTGCAGACGAGTCAGAGGCAAAAGTAGTGCAACTCTGTTAGCTGCTAGTAACGGCAGCGACATTGTTACAATGGCTAAGAAGAGTAGTTAGATATTGATATTTAAATCCGATTGCGTAACTGTTTACCTGTCAGCGAACACTAAGTATATGACTTCAAAAAGACTCATCCTCAAATAATCGATGATTTCTAGCCAGTTTTGCAAGCTTCAGAGTGGATAATGTGTTGTGACACGGTGGGCATTGATTCCAAATACGTATATTACAAGTGGGAAGTTCAATGGTCGCTGGAGAATTTATGTAAAAATAATTTGTTAGTCCGTTTTACATATAATTCTTTCAAAGATATACACAAGAGACATTAATTGTATATATGTCTATATGCATGCTGAGCCACGTTATTTACTGATAATAAGAAACGTTGTAAGTTATCGTTATATATAGCTTCAAAATATCAGAAGTACTCCTGTACGCCATGTTCACTTCAGATCATTGCAGATCGAATACCATTGTCATTACCGTAATGAATATGGTTTACATTGAACGACTAGGCGACACGACAATGAACTATGGTGAACCTGAAATTATAGTGCGTAATTCGAATGCTCAAGGTACCTTTATTATTTATCAAAAATCTAAGGCAACCAACTAAAGTGAAAGCATCCTCCACTACACTGCGACCAGCGCAGGTGCTTTCCTAAACTATACCCTGAAAAATTAAAAATGGAATTTATACTGTCCGACACATTCAGTATTCTTTACGTGTTCTAATCTATTCATATATATCGGAAACAAAACAACTAATAGTTCGATCAGCACTCTGAAGCCTACCTAAGGGCACGGCACATGTATTTTTTTAGAACGTCTTCTCTTTAAAGGGCCTATAGAGACAGGCAAGCATATTCCAGGTAAAAATGGTAGCACCGATTCATCTCTTCAGAACACGTGGATCATCAGTCGATTGTAACCAATAAGTAAAAATATGCGCTGAGATAATGACTCAGTAACTATGTTCGATTTTGAATGTGATCGACTTCGTTGAAAAAATGAGAGTTGTGATTAAAGCTAAGGGCCTTGCGAATGTTTTTCATGAACTGTTCATAAGATAAGATGTCCACAAATCTAGAATGACTCACATTCAGAAGGCTGTTTTGTGTCCAGAGACCAAGATCTAACTGCATTAATAGCCCGTGCTATTCTTTCATACCACAGTATTTGGGCTAGATATTGAGGTGATTATCTATGATAGCTCTATACAAAATAAGTGTACTAAGTAAGCCAAGTATATGATGCCATAATTTGAGTGTTCGAAGCCGTACTTTACGCTTATTATTATGTCATTCGTAGAAAACATAGGTGCAGTTTAATTTACTTTTGAGCTCGATATTCTTAACTATAATTTACGCTTACATGTATCCATACGGTAAACGTTGTGTGACTGAAGTCCATGATACATAATACTAATTTTGCTACGGGTATACACTTAGAGGTGAAGTGTACTGATGATGCAGAGCAAGCAAATATTCATTAAGATAGATATAGTCGCGCCGGCTTTTCAATATATGAATAGAAGTATATCCTGAATTCTTTGTGTACAAAAATGCAATTTCTTTGAAGCAAGAAGAACTTCGAAATCCAAACTCACTTACTCGTTGTTATTCCCTTTTGCTATTGCGACGATATAAATTACTTATTTAGTCTATAAAAAATAAATAAACAAACCAGAAATATTTTTAATACATAAATTACAGTAAGTAAATTTTGATTCCTATCTTCCATTGGCAATGTGTATATTTATATTTATGTCGAAACATAGTACCTAATATTTCACTCGTTAGATTATTGCTTAGTTTGTATGATGATATTATATGTTCACGAACTGCTGCCACCCAAAGCTAACGCGGACCACGATGCGTACAATGCCATTTACTTTCCACTTTGTTAAATCAAACATATAATTTAACATTTTTTTATATTATATATGACCAAAAAATTCATGACCAGTATGGGTAGCTAACTACTAACTCAACGAAAAGGTTGATATATGGCATATATATATATAACTACTGACAAGACAAATAATACCAACTACATAGGTAATCTTGTACTACTCATATAATTGAGATACACCAGGTACTTTATCGTCTTGTCTATAGGTACGGGTCTCAGCGAATGGAGGAAATCCTTCGAAGCATATTTTTGAACCTGCATCCAAAAATTATTCATTAAGCTAGTCATTCGTTTATAAACTTAATAAACCGTAACTTGGTACGCATGTGCCTTAAAAATTTAATGCAATTAATAAATTATGATCGTATGGTCACTGCAGCCGTTGTATCATTCATTCATTGCAGCAAAGCCTTAAGCAAGGCCCGTGTGTATTTCAAGCATCGCTTCTACGGCATTCGGTTGAGACAATTTATTTAGTCTTTAGGGGCTAACGTTATACATTGACACCGAGAGTTACCCTGTTATTATATAACAGTATTAATAACTAAAATGTAACGATAGTAATAATGAAAATGTTTACTATTACTAAATTATTATTAAATATGGCACTGATGTACATTGTTCTTGTTATTCTTGACTAGTGAATTGGCCTAGATAGTACGATTCAATAAAGTTCTACTGTAGCGTATTTTTATTTTGAGTGTCGCGGCTTCTGTTTATGACATAGAATTCAGTCGAGCGATGATCTCTAGAAAAAATCCAATTCAAGTTGCCCCTGATTAAGCTAACTGTAGTTAGCTTAGTCGGGCCGGTGAGCCATATAGCATTGCAACTAATTGAAACGCTTGAAAATACAGAACGATTCAGGGCATCTTGACTGGTTTCACATGAGACCATGTGTTTCAAGCGTTCTCTGAGATCGCACGCTTAGGTTAGATATAAATTAATCATATAACCTCAAAAGAAAACCAGGAGTCCCTGCTTTTAATCGCATATTTCATGTGGAAAATGAAAGAAAATGTCATAGAGTCTTCGTTTATTTCTGATCGCGCCCATACTTCCATAAAATAGCTTACTTGTTTTGTGTTGTGGATGGAGCGATTGAAAGACACTGGACAATGCGGAAAGCAGTGCTTCTTGCATCCAAACGAGAAGCACTGCTTTCCGCTGACTGTGGGCTTGGGTACATGCTTTTGAAAATGTATCATAGACTTAAAGAATATTGCTCCCATCGAACACCAAATAATTCGAAGTCCACTCAGGTGACAAGGGATTCCCTGGACGCCATCAACCATGTCTTCATCGAGGAAATCGACATTATTATAGTGGACAGTCAATCGTTGGGCTCTACGTAGCTAATGCAATTTCAGGCAACTTCTGGGACTGTGGCGAAGTACAGCTTATGAAAAGATTCTGCAACAGACCAGTTCTATATGGTGATGTGGATATACTTCGTGTGCATACACGTGTGTACAAAATTATACACAAATATATATATATAAATAGCTTAGTTGCTCTCTTTGGCTGACTATAAATAATCTATGAAAGATTATTGCATGACTACATGCTGCTGGACCCATATAGTGCTATATCGGGCGAACACCATTCGGAAATGTCATTGACTACCGTTCTCCATGTACTGCTTTTATTTACTATGATTTTGCAATGTTCAAATATCAGAGAGAAATTTTCGAAGAGACTTAATCGGAAATGGCTTCTTCGAAGCAGAAAACGAATACTTTTAGGCAGCACTTTTAATGTAGGTAGGCCACGAGGAATGAAGTATATCTAAAAATGAACTTAACTGCAAAAA